AAAAAGATAGTGTGGTATTGGTGTAAGGATAGACATATAGATCAACGGAACAGAATTGACAGTCCAGAAATAAATACATGTATCTATGGTTAACTGATTTTCAACAAGGCTGCCAGACCGTTCAATGGGGAAACAGTCTCAACAAATAGTGCAAGAACAGGAATATTCACATGCAAAAGAATGAAGTTGGACTTTTACCTAATACCATATACAAATATTAATTCAAAATGGATCAAAGACCTAAATCTAAGAGCTAAAATTAAAAAACTGTTAGAGGAAAACAGGAGTAAATCTTCATGACACCAAATTCTTAGCTATGACACCAAAAACACAAGCAACAAAAGAAAAAAATAGATAAATTTGAGTCATCAAAATTAAAAACTTTTGTGCTTCAAAAAACACTGTTAAGAAATTGGAAAGACAATCTATAGAATGGGAGTAAATATTTGCAATTCATATATCTGAGAAGGGACTTGCACCTATAAAGAATCCCAGCAATTCGACAATAAAAAGACAAATAAATCAAAAAATGGGCAAAGAACTTGAATAGACACTTCTACAAAGAAGATTTGCAAATGGCCAATAAGCACATGAAACGATGCTCAACATCATTAATCATCAGGGAAATGCAAATCAAAACCACAATGAGATTCTATTTCATACCCAATAGAATGGCTAGAGTTATTATAAAAAGCTAGATAGTAACCACTGCTGGTGAAGATATAGAGAAATCAAAAAACTTATACACAGCTGGTGGGAATGTATAATGGTACAGCTATTTTGGAAAACAGTCTGGCAGTTCCTTAAACAATTAAATACAGAATTATCATATGACCCAGCAATTCCACTCCTAGGTATATACCAAAAGAGAAATGAAAACATATATACAAACAAAAGCTTATACAAAAATGTTTATAGCAGCATTATTTACAATAGGCAAAAAGTGTAAAAAAACCCAAATGTCCATCAACTGATTAATGGAAGAAACAAAATGTGGTGTATCTGTACAATGGAATATTATTTGGTCATAAAAATAAATGAAGTATTAATATATGCTGCAACATGATGAATCTTATAAACATGCTAAGTAACAGATGCCAGTCATAAAAGACCACATATTTTATGATTCCATTTACATGAAATGTCCAGAGTAAGCAAATATATAAAGACAAAAAGTAGATTAGTGGTTGCTCAAGGCTAGGAGAATGGGGGAATAGGGGTTGATAGGTAAGAGGTATGGCATTTCTTTTTGAGATGATGAAATGTTCTAAGATTGATTGTGGTGAGAGTTGCACATAACCTGTGAATATACTAAAAAACAAATGAATTGGACACGTTAAAAGGGTGAATTGAATGGTATGTTAAAGCTGTTTAAAAATAAAACTATAAATGGAAGATGTATGTCATCATATCTATGTTAGAATGAAAGTGACCTTTCTAAAAACATGACACCAATGCTAGAAACCACGTAAGAAACACTCCACATGAAACACATCCTTTTACACTCAAATTTTCTCTCCTATTTAAAGCATATATTAGGGTTTTGTCTTTTCTAATTTACTAATCTTTGTCTTTTAATTAGATAAATTAATCCTTTTAAATATAATACAATTATAGGTAATTTGGGTTTAAAACGCAAAATAGGCTTTTAGAAAATATTTTCAGAAAATATGATGTTGGGCTAGGAAATGATTTCTTAAACAAGATACAGAAAGCACTAAAGAAAGAAAAAGATAAATTTGACTATGTTTCAGCCTACAAAATCTGTGACAATTGCTAATATTTACTGAGAGTTTATTATGTATATCAAGTCAAGAACTTTACATTCATCATATCATTTAATCTTCACAACTACCTACGATACTATTATTTTCAGTACTATTATAGTCAGGACTATTATTTTCCCTGTTTTAAAGATGATGCTTAAGAAGGTTAAGTATTTTACCTAAAGTCACATAGCTATTCTGCCAGGATTAAAATTTGGGTCTATCTTATTCCAAGCTCAACCGCATAATCACTACTCTAGAAGCCATCTCAGTTTTTGGGGAGAAGTTCAACACTTTATTCTCTGAAACCAGCAGCTTTCTACCCCCTTTTACCAGCATCCTACATTCAATGCCTCTATTTCTTCACCGTTTACTTGTTATTCCTTCTGCCACATCTTCTAAGAGAATTCCCAGTCTGGATTAGTACTCACTTACTCCTAATCTCCTTGCAACCTAGCTTCAAGCCCCAATAATGATATTCTAATCAGAGTAGGAAATCCTAGTAATGAAATCCAATGGCCTTTCTTCAGTCTTCACCTTTATTGACCTCTTTTGCACCTCCTCCTTTAAACATAATTCTCTTTAACTTGTCACTCATACTTTAAATTTCTTATTCAACAAAAACGTAGTTGGCATCAACTTTGTGCATGCATTATGCCAGATTCTGGGATATAAATGTCAAAAGACACAGTCCCAAGCCGGGTGTGATGGCGCACACCTGTAGTCCCAGCTACTCAGGAGGCTGAGGTGGGAGGATTGCTTGAACTCAGGAGTTCAGCACCAGCTTGGGCTACACAGAGACTCCATTTAAAAAAAAAAAAAAAAGTCACAGTCCTAACCTTCAATGAGCCTGTCTAGACTGAAGATAAATAACTATCAAATAATAAGCACAATGGAGACATTTACACATATATATGCCTGTGTGCATGCATCTTTATGTGTATATTAAGAATATCTAAATTTGCAGTAAATTTTAGTGGTTTTTAAGTCTATGGGCTTTAGAGACAAAGGTTTGAAACCTGAATTTGCCACTTATCTGAGTTGTGTAAACTTGGACAAGTTATTCAAAGTATTTTAAGAATTAAATCAATCATTACAAATTATTTCATGCTTACCATAGAAGAGCAGAATGTTATTGGTGTTTGTGAGAGACTGAAACATATAATATAGACCTCATTACACAAATTAATAGAAGGCCTGATTTTAAATAGTTTAATAAAATTATCATAATTAAACACAAACTGTATCTTATTGTTACTCAAAAAAAGATTCTTAAAGTACATTTGACATAGCCTTATGCCGGAGCACGTTATACAATCTATATGTAAACTGTACTGACACAATTTAAAAGGAAAAAGCATGCCTTCTGGGGTTGGGAAGTATGGTCTAGTGTCCTGACTTGGATAGTTCTAGGTATACATAATATTGGTTAACCATGCTACCCATGCTAGACTATGGAAAGAACATGTGCAAACAGAATGTAAACATTTAATAGATTGTACCTTATAACAAAATTGGTAAAGTTCCCAAGACTGACTCAAGGTAGAATGGCAAGAATGTATTTCTTTTATTTGTTCTTACCAAAGGGTGAAAGTTCAAGATCAAGTTGCAAATCCACTCTGCTATTAAACTGCTGATGCTGGAAACATCAGCCAATTAGGCAGACTCAGGGGATTCTTTAGTTGAAATGACTATTATCCCAATAATGTATTTTATATAATATGCTCAATTGCATATAAAGCAATTTAACTGATGGTCATTTGTTTTGACATAACCAACCACCTTTATCTACATGAGCTCTGAAATGTGAATCCAGGCATATACTAAGGATATGTGCTCTCCACACCACACCCTTGCTCCCCCACAACTAAGTACTGTTTCACTCAAGGATTGAATCTCCTGTCAGTGTGAAGTGTGTTAATTGTGCTCCTTGCTGTTACATTTCCTCAATAAATTTTGCTTTGATATAGTTAACTTGCTGGTATAAGTTTCCTTTTCTCTTCCCACTATCCTAAGGTGGCACGATGCCAACTGGAACCAATTTTTGCACAAGGGTAGGAGTTTCAAATTTTGATACATGCAGAAATTTTACATTTAAATTTTGGTGGCTTCTAATATCAACTAAAGCAATAGCAATGGAGGTAATTTCCAAATGTGGCCCCCTCATAGAGTTAACCTAAAAATATCTATTTATATCTATATATGTGTATATAGATATAGTATAGAACATGTTCTCTATTATGTATCTATTTAAATATCTATATCGATATACATGTATGTATGTGTATATAATATGTGTTTATGTAATGTTAAATAACACTGTTGTTTAAAATGTTATTAAAATTACATGTTATTTAAGACATGTTAAATGAAATGAGAGGAGGTGATAATGTATGGCCTCTGGTGCACTCTCAGTTTCCTATAAAGTGAGAACTATAATATCTTCTATCTACAGGCTTGCCAGGGAAATTAAATAATGGATATAAAGTATTCTGCACAGTACCTATGAATAGCCAATTTCCAAGTATTTATAAAATGTCTACTATATTTGCCTCTTGGTTGTGACCTTAAAGGAGAAGTTGAAGTGTACCAAGCAGAGAAAGAAGGAAGTCATTCCAGGAGTGAGAATGATGTATGCAAAGCTATAGTGATAAGAAAGTATGGCATGTGGAACAAATTCGATGGCTAGAACGGAGAAGACAAGTCTGAGTAGAGGCAGGAAAATTATCTAAAGAGCGAAAATAAGCAGTGAGGAACTCCTGGACTAGAGCAGTAGCAAAGGAGAAGAGAATAGATAAAAGAGATATCTAGGACATATAACTGATCAGAACTGGCAGATGATTACACGGAGATGAAGGAGAAGAGAGTGATGGATATCCCAGGCTTCTGATGTGGTTTACTGGGTATATATTGGTGACATTCAACCACAGACAGAGCCACAAATATATTTTAGAGGAAGAAGTGGAAGCATTTGGTTTTAAACATACTTAAGTTAATGTAAGGCATCTCTGTAAAATGTCTACAATATATTAGACAAGACACAACATTCTTTTCAGAATACCTGATAAATAGAAATATTTATACAATTAGGTTTTTAATAGAATCACACTGGCAATGACAATTCTTGATATTAATCAAGAATTATACAGATAATAGAGTTTCATGAATAACTTGGAAAGCATAAAGTAATTCAAATTGGAATTAAGCAAATTAAAAACACATTTCCATCACTACCTCGGCTGCTTTGCCGTTGTAAAGGCGAAAATGATTGCAGGCCTTAAGATTGAGTGCGATGGTGCTATCGGGAATTTGCTGAAGGTAAACAGCCAGAACTTCTTGAGACACATCATAGTAATCCAACTTGTAGTAGCAGAGGGCCACATAAACATTGAGGGCAAGGTATTCCCTATTAGGTGAAAGAATTAAGGGGTAAGAATTTAAGTCTACTTCACAGAAATGTCAAATTACAAAGCTCAGATGGAAAACAAGGCAGAGGGACAGTTCATGAATTTGCCTTGTGAAGAAAGAAGGCAAGATATAATCAGTGTGATTTTTTTTTATTTTTGCATTATAATATTTTGGTGTTTTGACATAAGTGCAGTAAAAGATGACAACTAGAGAAGAAAGGGAAAAGGTCATACTGTTCATACTGAAAAACATATGCTATAATTCAACATAAACACAAGCATATACCACACAGATGGTGGACAGAAAAGGCAAGCAGGTTTGATGGCTGGAACTGGGAATAGGCAGGTGACTAAGAGGGTTATGCAAAAGAGGTGAGAAGGAAGGGGGATGAGGTATTTGCGGGTTGGGGGAGGGAGGTCAAGTGTTCGGTGATGAAGTTGGAATGTTAATTCTTCAGAATGGTTTGTTTCTAATTTTGTCAGCAAGTTACCTAGAATATAACTACGACACTGAGATTGATACATCTAGACCAGTGGACCCCAACCTTTTGGCACCAGGGACCAGTTTCATGGAAGATAATTTTTCCATGGATGGGGGGGCGGGGGTCGTGGTGGTGGTGGTGAGGCGGAGCTCAGGTGGTGATGCAAGCCTGACAATTTTTCCATGCAAGGGCAGAGGAGTGGAACTCAGGTGGTGATGACCGCCAGGTTCCTAACAGGCCACAGACCAGTACCGGGCTGTGGCCCGGGGACTGGGGACTGCAGATCTAGACCATGCATTTTCAAAAGGGGCTATATCACCTGCAAAGGGGCAAAAATTGGTTCTTATGAGGGGATGGAAAAAAATCATACCATTTTATGTATAAAGCACAGATATGTATAAAGTACATAAATGAATATACAATGTTTTTTTATATATATATATCAGCATATATTAAAATTTCATGGAAGAGCAAACACGGGTGAAAATGTTTAAAAAGGCTCATTAGAAGGGTGATGATGCAAAAAGGGTAGAGAAAGCCTGATCTAGACAATATCTAAGGAGTTCTTAATCTCACCAGATTATCGACTAACAGATTTGAGCACATGGTAGTACTAGATGCAAAGGTCACTAGGTCCTCGCCAAACTAGTTACAGGAGACACTAACATAATGAAAGAGATTTCGAGTAGGCATAAAAGGACACAGACCTGTTATCTAGCAGTATTCGCTTATATATATCAATAGCTTCTTGGTAGTGAGATCGCATATAGTGGATTGAGGCCAAACTAAGTTGATCTTCTGTGATATCCTGAAGGTTCTGATGAAAGTTCATCAATTTTTTCTCATCATTAAACTAAAATTGTGAGAGAGAAAAAGACATATAAAGATTCACACTAGTGTATAGTTCAAGAAATCAACACCTATGTGATAGAGATTTTAACTTCTGCTTCTTCTTCAGCCATTGTGTCTCTATCTTCTCCCAATTTCCCTCAGGTTCCTCCTATTCCCTTCAAAAAAAAAGACTGCAAATAACTTCTGGAGGCATAGCTTGACACTGGAAAGCCTTTAAATTACAATTAATATTAATTACTTGACCTCTCCCCTTACCTTCTTTTTCTTTTCTCCTTCTTTATAGTTTCTTCCTTTCCCTTTTTTCTATACCTCTTTACTCTTATCCTTTAACAATTTTTATCTGTTCTTTTGTAACTCTTTCTCCTTGGTGGACAATAGCAACCAAAATGAATTTCTCATTGTTACTTAGTAAAAAAATTTTTGATAGAGGCCAATTTCACTGGGGTTAGGTGATATCTCATTGTGGTTTT